TTTCCTTTATGTATATGAAAGTTATTTTTGATGGCATAGTCAATGTCCTGCTTACTACACATTTTAAGTATTAGCCTTTGGAAACAAATTCCTTAAATTCATTGCAACTTTGCTGCTTTTGTTGCCATTTTTATAGATAATTTTATATGTTTACTGTTTCTCTCTGGCGCTCGCTCTCTCTGTCTTTCTCTCTCTCTCTCTCTCTCTCTCTCTATATATATATATGTTTACTGTTTCTCTCTCTCTCTCTCTCTCTCTCTCTCTCTCTCTCTCATATATTGAGACATGATCTCACTCTGTGGCCCAGGCTGGAGTACAGTGGTACAGTCATGACTCACTGCAGCCTCGATCTTCTGGGCTCAAGTGATCCTCCCACCTCAGCTTCCCAGGTAGCTGGAGCTACAGGAATGCACCACCATGCCTGATGAATTTTTTAGGTATTTTTTGTAGAGAAGGGATTTCACCACATTGCCCAGGCTGGTCTCGAACTCCCAGGCTCAAGCCATCCTTCCACCTTGGCCTCCCAAAGTGCTAGATGTGAGTCACTGTGCCTGGTCATATATGTCCATTTTGCGGGCCAGAATTCTTTGACTGTTTGATTTATAGAGAATTTTCAAATGTCTGCCTCTAAGGACTTTTGTAGCAATTTTATTGAGATACAATTAACATATAATTCACCCACTTAAAATGTAGGCTCCAGTGGGTTTTGTTTCTTGGTTTTGTTGTTTCTTTTGTTGAGAGATAAGCAACAAATACATTTTTAGTATAATTGTGTTTCATTCAATATTTGGGACATACACTAACACTTGCTATTATTACCATTATTATTAACATTATTATTTGAGCTGAGGTCTTATTCCGTTGCCCAGGCTGGAGTGCAGTGGCTCAGTCACAGCTCACTGCAGCCTTGAACTCTTGGGCTCAGGTGGTCCTCCTGCTTCCGCCTCCCAAGTAAGTGGGATTACAGGCGCAAGCCACAGCACCCAGTGATTCATTGGTTTTTAGACTGTTCACAGAGCTGTGCTACCATCACTATCATATTTTAGAACATTTTCATCACCCCAGAAAGAAGCCCCCTACCCATTAACATTCACTCCTCACTCCTTCCACCCTCTCCAGCCTGTGGTAGCCACTGATCTACTTTCTGTCTGTGTATACCTTATTCTGGACATTTCTTAGAAAAGGAATCATACGATGTGTTGTCTTTTTTTTTTTTTTTTTTTTTTTTTGAGACGGAGTCTCGCTCTGTCGCCCAGGCTGGAGTGCAGTGGCGCGATCTCGGCTCACTGCAAGCTCTGCCTCCCGGGTTCACGCCATTCTCCTGCCTCAGCCTCCCGAGTAGCTGGGACTACAGGCGCCCGCCACCTCACCCGGCTAGTTTTTTGTATTTTTTAGTAGAGACGGGGTTTCACCGTGTTAGCCAGGATGGTCTCAATCTCCTGACCTCGTGATCCGCCCGTCTCGGCCTCCCAAAGTGCTGGGATTACAGGCTTGAGCCACCGCACCCGGCCATGTGTTGTCTTTTGTGGCTTTCACTTAGCATATTGGTATCCATGGTGTAGCATGTGCCAAGTACATCATTCCTGTGTGTGGCCAAATAACATCCCATTGTATGGATATACCACATTTTATTTACCTGTCAGTTGGTGGGTGTGTGTTCTGTCTTTTTGGCTACTATGAATAATGCTGTTATGAACATTCCTGTATGAGTTTTTGGGGTGACAAGGTTTTACTTTTTCTTGGGTGTATACCTAGAAGTGGAATTTCCAGGTGGTGTGGTAACTCTGTGTTTAACTTTATGAGGAATTCTCACGCCGTTCTCCAAAGTGGCTCCACCATTTTACCCTCCCACCCGCAATGGAGCGATCCAGTTCTTCCACATCCTCACTGACCTTCGTTATTGTCTTCTTTATTATGGTCATCATAGTGGCTATGAAGACAGGATTGTTTTTAAATATTCTCTATGTGGTATTCTGCCTTCTTCCCTAGAAATCATAATTAGTGCAGAAGTAGCCCAAATTGTGTATGTTAATTTGTTTTATTGTTTTAAAACAAACTTGAGCCCCCAAAAGCAGCAAAGCGCATACATTTCAGTTAATAATATATTTTCTAGGACGTTTTTGTCTCTTCTCAAATGAAATGATTTTGATATTAAGCACAGAGTTCCTTTCATTTTCTTATGCTCATTCTCTCTCTTTTTAATGGTATCACATACTGTGCAGGAAGGTCATTATATAAAGAGAGGAAAAAAGAATAATCAGCATAGAACAGAAAATTAATGCTGTTTGTATAATTTTTTAATAGGAATGTTGTAAAATTTTGAGATTTAAACCAACTAATAATATTTTTTGTACATTACTGGGCAGTTTCCCCTTGTTGCCTGTGAACTGATAGTTTGCCTTGGAAACTCAGATAGTAAAAATATTTGTCAAAGCTTCAAATACCAGTGTTTTAATTCCTTATTCATTTAGATATTAATCCTGTTCTGGAGACCACCTGCATGTGTTTGTAAGGGATGTAATAACTGACACTGTATTTAATTAGCAATAATATTGTGAAAAAGGAAAAACATATTAAGTATCTTTCCAAGTCACTAGTTTGAAATTAGCAGAAGTGGGGAAGAAAAGTCCTGTCTACCCCCCCACCCTTAGTTTGCATACCCATGGAAGTTTGTGATCCATTTACTTATTCATTTATCCAAGTATTTGATAGGTACATATTTTGTGGTGGACAATGTTCTAGGTATTGGGAAATGGACCAATTTCAATAGGACAAATCTGAATCACAAATAAGCATCCAGTGGCAACCAGGTGTTATATACACTGCACCTAAATACAAATTCATATGCATCAAAATCACCTTCATATGTCACACAGTCACGTTAGTTCTTCATAGCAAAACTAGGGGACTCTGAGGTCAGTCCCTAGAGTACCTGGTTGAGGGGTGGGGCAGGGCAGTTGAATAAGGGAATAGAATGAATGAAGACTTTAGACTCCAGAGCTCGTCACTTTATTCTGCCATGTTTTAGTTTTGTGGTATTAAATCTCTACAGAAATTAGTTATCTTGCTTCCTTTCTTGAATTCCTTTTCAAATGTTATAGTTACTACTTCAATAATTCTATCCCGTCTGTTTATATACAAAAGGTAATTTACCAGGTGATGACCGAGGACACCTGCTTTAAAGTCGAGCGCATGCTAATTTACTGGCTATTTGCTTGGCCTCATTTACTCTCTCGGCACAGTTTCTGGGTCTGTAAAATGAGAGTAATTGTACCGTCTACCTCATTGGTGACAGTGAGAATTAAATGAGTTGGTGCATGCATAGCACTTAGTATAGTTCCTGGCTCAATGTTACCACCCAGCAACTAGCAGTGTGGAAATATTTCACACCCAAGAGTAAAGTTTGATTTTCCTTTAGGAGACAGGATCCTGGGAACTTTCTGGTTACCATAGCTGCTTCCTAAAGGCAACTAAGTTAGATGTGGAGTTTCTAATTCCTGTTGGAAATTCAGTGAATAAGAAAATACTACTGAAAGTTACACAATTTTCTGCATGTTAATGATCTGATATTATACAGCTTCAAGTTTTCAGTGCCCATTCGGGTGGTGCAGGTGAGAGACGGCGGCTTTGCGGGCAAGGCAATGACCCTGCTGATGAAGGGAAGAGAGTCGTTAAGCAAATAATTTTTAAAAAATCATCCAGAGAGTACTGTAGCAAGGATGGTTCCTAAAAAGAACTGTGGTATTCCTTGTTGAATAGCAAGTTTGGGCAGTGTATGGTAGGGAAATCTCAGGAATGTTATAAACAAAACAAAATGATTGGGCGAGCCCCATGACGTGCGTGTTCTCCTGTGCGCAGTCGCGGAGTCGCCCTTCACCCCTGGGTCCTGATTTCTCAACCTCTTCATTGGACTGTCTCCTTGGTGCCTGGGAAAGAAGCTTCTGCCTTCCCTGGATTGAATGCAGCCCTTCTTGTCCTGTCCACTGAGCATGAGGAACAGCCACTCGTACCTGCCAAGGCCTGAAGCCGCGGGCAGCACCCAGCCCTGCGCTGACGGCCGCTCCAGGTTGCTGCTGGACGTGGCGAGCTCGAGCTCATCGGGCCTTTTAGGCTTTTGCTTCTTGGCAAATGATCAGCTGTGAACTGCTGTCGGCCTAACTTGGTCTTGTTAGCTCAGAAGCCTGCAATTCATTGCATTTTACCCTGAAGAAGAAGGGCAGGTCCGAGAACATGTTTATTTTTCTGTGGATTTTTTTTCCCCTTTGACCCAGGAAATTGTCTGTCTTCAACAACCTAGTCTTGTCTCCTCCAGAGAAAAGTTTTGAGTCCTCCGAGGAGCAGTCTGTTGCCGCTGTGGCCTGCGGTCACTGGGTCACACCAGAGCCCTGACAACTGTCTCCCTTCCTGGGCCCAAGTGGACACCAGAGGTGTTTGGGGCTCTGGGATCAGCCTGTTCTGGCCAGGGTCTTTCCCTCCCACTCTGGAACTGTAGCTTCCCAGCCCTTTTCTTGATGCTGCGCGGGTGCCTGGGAGGCCCCACCCCGTCCCTAGGGGCCCTAGGGAAGTCCCCGACTGAGAGATGCGAAGACCTGCGTCCCCTCCCCCAGCACACACTCAGCCTCTGACTTAGTTCTCACAGGAGGAGGGAACAGCTTCCAGGAGCTGCTGCTGTTACCCTCACATGTTGGTGAGGAGGAAATTGCCTGGTGAGGAGGGCTCGCCTGCCTCTTCACAGCCAGGCGCACCGTGGCGGCCTCAGGAGTGGTCACCCTGGGAGTAGTGACTCCTCACCTCCTAAGCGGCCCTGGGGCATGAACACTCGTCCTGGAAATCCTGCTGGGCTGGCTTAAGGGAGTTGCTTGTGACACCTAGAATGCCTCTCTGGATAAGCCTATAAAAAGGAAAGAATGGGGCTCCTCTTATTATAGTGGCAGAATTCTTGGTACTAGAACTGGTAAGACAAGAGAAATGGAAGCTGACCAACTTTTCTCTTTGCCCAGGGTTCAGAGGGACAGAAACACACATGTAATCTGGCTCTGCATGCACCAGAACCTTCTCACTCCGGGTAAGGGACAGCCACAGTTTCTGGGACGTTACCTAAAAACACAATAATCTCACTTATTCTCTGACAGATAATCATCAGTCATAGCCCCACTACCCACTTTTATTAAAGAAATAGCTGGGCCTTGTAGGTTAAGCTCTTTATATTCTGGGAGAAGGCCATGTTATCCATTCCTCAAATCCTCAGAAATAAAACAAAAATGAAAGCCCATTCATAACAGGAACGCCTAATCTTGTAATGAGGGAATCACTGAGTGTGGCACAGGGAAGACTCCTGAGAGATCCTGATGGGGTACAAGTGTGCTGACCGACATCCTAGATTCAGTGGGCCCTTGAACAATGTGGGGGCTAGGACGCCAACCCTGTGCAGTCAGTAATCTACGTATACCTTCTGACTCCCCCAGAATGTAACTACCAGTAGCCCACTGCTGACCAGAAGTGTTACCAATAACATAAACAGTCATTTAGCACATATTTGGTATGTTACGTGATTATATACTGTATTCCTACAATAAAGTAAGCTAGAGAGAATGTTGGGAAAATCATCAAGAAGACGATGTATTTATTCATTAAGTGAAAGTGGATCATCATAAAGGTCTCGATCTTCATCGTCTTCGTGTGGAGTTGGCTGAGGAAGAGAAGGAGGGGTTGATCTTGCTGTTAAGGGCAGCAGAGTCAGAAGAAAATCCACATTGAAGTGGCCCCATTCAGTTCAAATCCATGTTGCTCAAGGCTCAACTGTACACCAAACTGAAAAATGGTTCCATTTTTAGTAAGAAATCGCCTACTCTAAGTCCCACTGCTTCCCTTTGCACTTGATGGCAAGGGTCTTTAACTGTGTCCCTGGAGCTGGCTTGGCTCCACTGACAGAGGCTCCCCGACAGTCTGACAGGCCACTTTCGTTAGAGGAGAAGGTACCCCCTCGCCTACCTGTGTTTTCTTACTTCACGGGTCTTGATTCCTGACTCAGGAGCACCTGTTACAGAAAAGCCCCTGGACTAGATCTACTTCTATTTAATGAAAAATCTGTGGAGCATTTACTCTTGCTTCTAACACATTAACCAGTCAGGGCTTTCTTCTGAATAGGACGGTCTCTTGACTCTTTGATACTTGACTTTTGAACCAGATTGGGTGAGGCAGAGCTTGAGCACATATTTTACCAGCGTCTTCAGCAAATGCCTTTCTCTTTGCAAAGCTCCATATTACTACCAAAAATTAATCCAACTAAATTGTAATTTCTTCTCACCCACATTCATTGAGTACTGTGTCTCCTTGAAAGATCTCAAACAAGGCACCTTCTTGCAGGATCTTCACCACGAGACCCTCGTGATAGTCACCTCCTCATTAGGCTGAGACACACACACAGTGATTACATTCAGACACAGAGACTCCTGTGTCTTAAGACCTTGTGTGACCCTTGTAATTAAAGCATTGCACTTAGCAAAGGCTGACAGTGGGATAGGGGCTGTCTGAAACTATTGAGCCATAGCCTGGTCTCTGCTTTCTTTTTACAAATGGGAGATTGGCTAAGGCAGACACGGGGATGTCTAAGAGGGATAAAGGACGTGACTTCCATAGAACCTTTTGTTCTTAGAGGAACCTCTCCATGAAACACAGTGAAACTAGATCAAACCAAAAAGCGCCCTCAGCTCCAGCAGATTCTGAGATAGAAAGCACCTCTTCCCTAGCGAACCTTCTCGCCCAATGCAGACTGACTTTCTGAGTGTCAGAAAGTCAGCTTTCCGAATCCCTAGAGAAAGTAAAAATCTCCTTGGACACAATGGGTTTTCTTTGCTCCCTGCATGACAGTCACGAAGGGGAATCTGAAATAGAGAACTTGAAAATGCGGCTTTCTGAAGGGAAGTACTGTACAGTAGCCCCCCTTCTCCGCGGGGGATCCGTGCCAAAATCCCCAGGGGATGCCTGAGACTGCGGATGGGACCGAACCCTGTATACGCTTGCCTTCAATGCCTTTTCCATTTTAACTCGGCACTTGGCCCACATTGCGGCTGTGACTTTTGCAGTTTGAGGTACAGCAGCAAAACTAGCATAAATTTCTTTGTCCTTTTTCACAATTTCATGGATAGAAGATTCATTCTTACTGTAGGTCTTAGCAACCTCAGCATACTTTTTTTTCCCCTAAGTTGAGAACTTTCACCTTTTCACTAAAGGAAGCACTTCACGGCTGCTTTTTGGCGCATCCAGATTGCCAGCATCATACTCGTGCACTTTGGGGCCATCGTGAAGTCAAATCATAGTTCCTGCCAGGCATAGTGGCTCACGCCTGTAATCCCAGCACTTTGGGAGGCCGAGGCAGGTGGATCACTTGAGCTCAGGAGTTTGAGAACAGCCTGGGCAACATGGCAAAACTCTGTCTCTACAAAAACACCAAAAAATTCGCTGGGTGTGGTGACACATCCCTGTGGTTCCAGCTACTTGGCAGGCTGAGGTGGGAGCATGGCTTAAGCCCAGGAGGTGGAGGTTACAGCGAGCCAGGACCATGCCACTGCACTCCAGCCTGGGCAACAGAGCCAGCCTCTGTCTCAAAAACCAAAAAAAGGAACCTAAGCACTGAGACCGCCTGACGGTAGATCTGGTAACCAAGGTGGCTACTAAGTGACTGGCTGGTGGTGGTGGTGTCTACAGTGTAGAGACGCTGGACCCAGAGAGGAGAGGGTTATGACCCAGGCAGGACGGAGCAGGACAGCACAGGATCTCCTCACACTACTCAGAATGACTCACAATTTAAAACTTATACATTGTTTATTTCTGGAATTTTCCGTATAAGGTTTTTGGACCATGGTTGACCACAGGTAACTGAAACCTTGGAAAGCTAAAACCTTGGATAAGGGGGGACTACTGTAATATAATATTTTACAATTCCTGGGATGAAAGCTCAGGCAGACCCTATCTATGCATTATTACAACGTACCATCAATTCAAAACCATAAAGCTTTAGAAACATAGTTGCTTTTATTCCTAAAATATTGAATATGAATAATAATAATTTATGCTTTGTCTTAGAAGTACCTTTTTTCATGTGATTGATGTGTATTGATCTGTTTCTTCATTCTAATGTGAACATTTCTGTAACAGTCATTTCCCCTGAAATATCTAACCTATGGGTGCCTGAGACAGCTTGTCAGCTGGGAAGAACAATGGTGGCGATAGCCACTTGGGGCTGGTTTGGTCGCGAGTGCAAGTGTGGTCACAGCAGCTAGAACAGAGGGCTGTGTGGAGAACACGGGTCGGGTCAGAAGGCAGTAACCACGAGGGATGCAGAGTCGAGAGAGAATTTGTTGATTGGAATGACTCAGGTTGACTTTCAGGGTGAAAAGAAGGGGCCAGTAGAGAGGGAAGAGAGGACAGTTGATGTGGCAGGCTCCCCGGGAGAAGGGCAGAGCGAGATCAGGGGCTCAAGTGGAATGCCTGAGTGTGGTGACAAGAACGCTGCCTTGCGAGGCTGGAGGGGGTAGCCAAGGATGGGCGGCCTGGGAAGGCTGGAGGGAAGTGAGATGGGCGCCTAGGAAGGCTGGAGGAGTGTGGGAGTGGGGCGGCCTGGGAGGCTGGAGAGGAGCGCGAGGGATGGGCGGCCTGGGAAGAGGCTGGAGAGGGGAAGCGAGGATGGGGCGGCCTAGGAGGCTGGAGAGGGGAAGCGAGGATGGGCGACCTGGGAGGCTGGGAGAGCCGGGGCTGGAGAGGGAAGCGAGGATGGGCGGCCTGGGAAGGCTGGAGAGGTGTAGACTGTCAGGGAGCTGCTCACCCACTTAGAAATACTCTATTGACATAACAAGTTTTTTTTGTTTTGTTTTCTGTTTGTTTTTTTGAGATGACGTTCGTTCTTGTTGCCCAAGCTGAAATGCAATGGCGCAATCTCAGCTCACTGCAGCCTCCACCTCCTGGGTTCAAGCGATTCTCCTGCCTCAGCCTCCGGAGTAGCTAGGATTACAGGTGCACGCCACGGGTGCAGTGGCTCACACCTGTAATCCCAGCACTTTGGGAGGCTGGGGCGGGCAGATCATCTGAGGTCAGGAGTTCGAGACCAGCCTGGCTAACATAGACATAACAAACTTCTGTTTCAAAAGTTCAGTCGTGGGCACAAGTTGATTTTGCGTTACAGTCTTTTATAGTGAAGGTGCATACTATTTTTAAAGCTGTATTCCTTAGATACTACCATGTTATCTAATGTTTCTAATAATGGAATTAACAAAAAATGACTACATCATCCAAATTTGACTTTGTACTAACATCATGCTTGGCGTACTCCACATCCCTGAAGGTTAACAAGAGATAAATTTGGCCTAGACTGGTCTTTTCCTGAATTCATCACTTAAAAAAGGAAAAAAAGAATGGGGAGGAAAAGCCACGTTTTACTTTTATAATTTTTATTCCATCATTAAAAGTACAACTTGCTTTATGATCTGAAGAAATACCATCTAAGTCTTTCTATTAGGAACAAAAGTGAGCCTTTCAGGGAAAAAAAAAAAGGAGCAGGGCTTAATCTGCATTCACCCTTTGATGTATTCCTAGATTTTAAAAAGCTTCCCGCCGTTCTCAGCCACGTTGAAACAGACTCAGCCATGTGTCCGGCGCTGTCCTTTTCTCCTCTCAGCACACACTTAGCCGGAGACACCTTTCGGCCAGTGGGCCAGGATTCTTCCATTGCATCTTCAGCACGGGACCACTTGTGCTGGCTTGTTGGGAGTTTCGCTGCTCAGTATTCCTTCCCAAGGCAAAGACTCTTAAGTTAATAATTGGTTCAGAAGAATAAACTATATCGCCCTCTTGGTCTTCTTTTGGACATTTCTTTAAGATGAGGCTCTTATTGGTATATCCAGGGTACTTTACTGAGAAGTAGAAAATGCTAGCTGAAAAAGGGCATATCAGTCTCGAGGTACGAAATGGGAAATGCAATCGGTAAATTTTGCTTTTAAATAAAAACGGAAGCCCCATTTTATTGCTGCCATTTTTAGTCATTTCGTCATTTTTTAATAGCCTAGTTTTCTGTTTTAGAGAAGTTGCTGACCAGTATTTAGAGAGCACCTCCTTAATCCGCACACCCTCTTGTGTGGTAGTGAAGTGATGGGTTGGAGTCGTTTTTAATGCTGTTTCCACTGATGGACATTATTACCAGAAGGAGTGCTTTGTGCCAGCTGGTTTCATGGATGGAGGAAAACAATCTGGGTTTCAGTTTCACAAATAGAAAAACAAAACCTGAGAGGAAAAGGAAGTAATTCGTTAGCAGTGGCCACTGTGCAGAGTAGGATAACCTGCCTTCAAAGATTTTTGTTTCATGCACTATAATATAATGTTTAATAAATACTTTACTTCAAAGAACCTCACTACAAGAAAACTGGCCGCTTTCCTGCTATTCTTGTTCACCGGCTCAGTATGACTATAAGTAGCTCATATCCGGTCCTCTGTGGTCTCAGGTGGTCATTTGTGTATATGATCCTTAAGCTGAATCTGTGAGGACTGTGTCCCTATTTTAAGTCTTTAGCAAATCCACAGTGTTCTGCAGGAATTGATCGAGGCTCTCGTGAAACCCTTGACACTTTGACCCATCTTGAGGAAAATGCTTAGATGCTAAAAGCAGTGTGCATAGGGATTACGTCCTCCAAAAATAGAAAACTAAATTTACTAAGCAAGGAGTAGAGAAACTCATCAGACTGCACCGCAAGTTTTTGATGTATTGTGATCGCTTCTGCACTCCCATTGTAGACTTCTAAACAACACGTTCAGTATCTTTGAGATAAAAGCTGGACTGAAGTTACAGAAGGAGCATTGGAGATGTTTGAATTTTTCTTTTTCCCCTGTAGATATATTTGGCATATGTAGAATCTGAGAGCCCACTATTGATACCAGTTTCTTCCAGATATTAACAGATATCACATTGACAGCTAGAACTCAGAAGAAACTAATGGAACCCTGAAAGAAACCATTGTTTTTTCCACTATAAATCTTAACCCAGCAGC